TGTGGAAAGGTTTCGAACTGTTGTTGCTGCTGATATATGTGAGTATATATCAAGAATTGATGACACATGCTTATAATTTCTCATCTCATAAGTACCAGAGCAGGCTGATCAAGAACAGCCACATATAAAGAAAGGCGAGTGGGGTACCCCAGGGGTCCTAAATCCTCTTTCATTTGCAACCAAACGTGGGATTCATTATTGTATACAAAATCTTCTACCACATGAGTCCAAAAGTTGTCACTTTATCATTACCCTGTTTTTGAGGCAGAACCTCAGTATCAACAGTCTTGACTGTATTGTCAGGCTTCCACCAGAGCAGTTGATAAATCCCCACAAATTCTGGGACCTCCTATGTAAAGTTCCTTGATACTACTTGAATGTATTTCTAATGTTAAATTAGTCTATCCACTAATCAGGGTAAAAATAGCCCTACACCTTAGTGGACTCTTGGCTAATAGAGAGAGTATTATTTCACTTAAGCATTTTACTTGCCTTTTTATATCAGCTAATACACAAAGTACAATCTTTGAGCTGGATTCAAACTAACAGGATCTTAAAAATCTGACCAGCATGATGAGTCATCCTCTACCTTGTGAATTCACAATTCTAATAACCTCACTGATACAATTCTCTGTTATTAATAATTTGCCAATTAGAGACTAACAGTCTTTCCCAAGAGGCATCCTTTGGGATTTTAGATTCAATCCCTCTTTGATAGGACTACCATGTGGAGCCCTTTTAAGTAAAGATTAATTTGTTCCTGAGCTCCTGTCAAAAGTAAATGCCATTCCCATGCATACCATGTGATTCTATAGCCTGATAGTACCATTCATGATAGGTAGGATCTAATATGCTTCACATGTCAAATATAAATGGTATGTTCAAGAATATAGCTAGTCTGGCAAGAAACATCTCATCTTCATCTGATGATATGACAACATTCCCATGAGGGAAGCTTTTTCCCCTCCTCCACAAGACAAAGCCATTAGCTCCCAGGTTCTGGATTTACTGGGATTCTACTGCATGCCTGGGCCTGGTTCACTGATGAGCTGGTTGAGCTGAAACCTTATGGAGTTTACTGGCTGCAGCTGGTGGCCAACCTTAGCAACTAAGTATGCACATTGTAAAGCAACAAGACATTTCAGTCTTTGGGCAGAACCCAAAGCCATTCTCATAACTGTGAGCAGTAGTTCCCTGGAATACGCTTGTTAAATTTTAATGATTCTTAATTTACTGTGAAGAATCAATATAAACTATTTAGTCTGCCACTTGGAAGACTACAATTGGTGTATCCTAAAGTAACCTCTTGGGATAACAAACTAGAAACAAATTTTAAATGCTGATCAACTTGGTCATAAACATAGATTCTCAAGTAAGGACCCATCCTTTGAAAAACACCAAATAGAGTTAAGCAACTGATAAGGACTCCACAAATGCTGCATAGGTCCCCCATCCATCCAATATGGGAATTAACTATGGGTACAAAATAGAACTCTTATTTCTGTGCACAGGTTATCACAGCATGCCAGAGCTGGAATTCATTCCAAAGGTTGTCAAAGTTTTCGCTGGAAAGTTGATTTCACCAGTTATTTGATCACATCTTTGGCTTATAGCTGGTCCCTTACCACCAATGACACCTGTTCAGGTTATGGAGTTGCTATCTAGTCTGATCAGTTAATTCCAGGCACACATTTGTAATCCCTGGAAAAAATGATTAATATCTGTGGCTTTATGGACCATTTGCACTCTGACAATAGTGATCTTTTATCATAAAACTACTCAAATGGACTGAAAAGTATAGGAATTCAGAGATTCTTTCATGTGTCCTACCAGTGAAGGCATGTGATAACAAGGAGCACTGGATGGCCATCTCAGTGCCTGACATGAAAAAAATACCTGACTCTCCCTCACCTCCTCCTCACCCACACAGCTTGGTGAGGCAGTTACTCAACATGGCCACTGCAGAAATGAATTTCTTTATCTTGGCTGCTTCTACTGGGAACTCTAACATTTTACTAGCCAGCAAGGAGATTGCAGGTACCATCAACTTTCACTAATAAAGATCCTAGCTAATGTAAGTCCCACTTGGTATCCTCAGCAAGTGAAAATGTGACTTTCTTTACTGGGGTATTAAACAAGGACTATAAAACTTAAGTAGAAGCCTACTATTAACTTGCTTCCCTGCTAAAAACACAGAGGCTTGCACTTACATGCTGCAATGGTCATAGTTGGCCACAATTCAGCTATTTGTGGAAACATCTGAGTAAATAATGTAACCCATTAGCTGCAAGAATCATCCCCAAATAATAGTACCCTTGCTTACTCAGAGAGGTAAATGGTTCGTTAGTCACATTTACCCCATGAGCATTTATTTAATTAGAAAAAATGGTACAAAATGGTCTCTGACTTTCACTGAAGTCAGGAATGGTACCATTTAAGTCTTTCAAGATGTTCAGGTCAACATCAGCTCACTATCTGATCATTGTTACAGACAATATAATTGCCCTATACTTCCTCCTTGAAGGCCAAGACAAAGTCTGTGTAATAACTAATATATCTTTCTGTGTCTGGGCTGTCTTATTGGATTTCCATCATCTTAGATCAAAACCATAATGACCATTTGATTAAATACCTAACTCACCAAATTCCTTATAAACAAAAATGGGTGATGTGTTGAATCTCTAACTTATTTGAAATGACCTTGACACTCTTCCACCTCTTACAGAAAAACGATGTAGGGACCAGTGGGAAAGTTCTAAGGTTGAGTGGAATGCCATGCCACTCCCAAAGGTAGACCCTAATGATCTTTGAGATATTTTTTTTTTCTAGCAAGTTGGGTCTGGGACCCTCAATGTATGGTTGAGGCTAATAACCAAGGTTGGTCTCCTCTTCTTATTTGATGTTGTGATGGTAGCAACTTTATTTCAGTGCTATATGAATCAGAATGACCAAATGAATCAACTTGATTCCAGCCTTAGTCATTTGATAAATCACAATAGGTGCTGGAATGCGATGGTGGTAAAAACATTCATCTTAAGTCAAGATGCTATAGAAGCAAGATTTGGCTATTGTTAGGAGACTATTCACCATGATTCTCTCGTGTTTTTGAGGATCTCATAAGAAAGACATTGATTTCTCTATGTTCTAGACTTTCAAATGTCCTTGTACAGAAAGCCGTCTTGGAAGATAAAGGATATTTTCTCCTAGAGCAAAGGGCAGGTTTGCTTGCAGTCTTGAAAACACCATCTCTTTGTAGCAATAAACAGACACACTCTCTGTACAATACAATGACAATAATATCTCCCTTTGAGGCAAAAGAAAGGCATGTTTACTGCCACTGAAGAAGATTCTGCTTCCCAAAGCTTTGGGTTGCTTTCTGGTAACAATGCAACTCACTGTGTATGTGAGAGACATCTCCCCCTGTTAACATAGCCCTGTGGCAACAGGGGTTTTGGCATCTGGCATAAACATTGATATTCTGGCTATTGCCTTTGCTGTCAGGGTTAAACTGCCCTTTGCCTTTGACCAGGAGACTGATGTCCTCTAAAATGTCCATGAAACTTTGTTAATAACTTGCTAAAATCTCAGTTCCTGAAACTCACCCTACATTTGTTATTTCATAGTAATAGCATCCTCCCTAAAATATTATATAAAGAAGGAAAAATATGAAATAATGATTTGAAGGGGAAGATGACATTAATTTGTAAAAAGATTTCTTATAAGTATACCTAAATTAGGAAAGTTAAAAGAAGATAATTACTAAAATATTCTCAATAAATGTAATTTTTTTTTGTCACTTGTCCTACCTGTTGAAAATCATTTCAAATGCAATTTCTTTTCTCCTGTTTCATTCTATTTTTAATTCTGAGTGAGTAAGCTGGTAATTTCTCATGTTTTAAGTCAACAATGAAAAATGTCAATAAAATATACAGCCAAAGATTTTACCAGAGATGGTGAGGGCAAGAGAAGGGAAGTTACAAGAAGGTCTTCAAAAAGTACAAACTTTCAGTTACAAGATAGTTAAGCACTAGAGATGTACAATATACATGAAAACTCTAGTTAACACTGCTGTGTAATATATACATAAGTTCTTAAGAGAGTAAGTTCTATTAGCTCTTATCAGAGAAGTGTTTTTCTTTTTAAAAATTATTTCTCTATGAGATGATAGATGCTAGCTGAACTTTAATGCAATGACCATTTCATATTATTTGTAAGTCAATCCATCATGCTGTACAACTTAAACTTACATAGTGATGCATATCAGTATCTCACTAAAGGTAGAAAAATTAGAAAATAAAATAAAATTGTGCTTATAAGATATTTAAGGCTCTATACTCTCTGCTTCAAATATTTAAAAGCTCACAAATATGATGACATCTACTAAGATACCTTTAATAGCATAAAATCTTATGCAACCGTCCTCTCTATGAAATAATCATACCATAAGATAAAAACAAAAAAGAAAGCTAGGATTATGAGTTTTTTCTTAAGCTAAAATTTTATTTCGTAAATAATAATACACTGTCTTCATGCTTCAAAGCTAAAAATACCTCTTGGTTTGACTTCCTCAAATAGCAGTTATTGTTAATAGTTTGCTATGTAAATATCGACATAAATATAGATTTAATAGCAGTATGGTAGTCTACATGTCTGTGGTTTCCACTTTACTAATCTGGGACATACTGATTTTTCAGTACACACTTTAACAAATATCTTTAACAAATGCAGATTTTCATAGCATTCTATTGTGTTGATATATGGAAATATATAAGGAAATGTCCTACTTAAGGTATTCAAGGTTGCTTGAACTTAAGTAACCAACAAAACAATGCTGCAGTCAATATGTGTGTATTTCCAACTCTTCTGCATTTCTGTAGTATAAATACACATGGAGCTTTAGACAAGCTGAGTGACAGGGCTTGCATGAATGCTACAATTAGGCTAACATGCCCCTGATTTATAAATGCACAGTCATACCAAATTAAACATTCTGCTCTCACCTTTGTTGCCAAGGATTTCAGTTTTCCCAGTAATGACTGCTTATTGGAATATACAACTTCTTCTTCATTATCTTCTCCTTCCATGATAGCACAACTGTCTGCAGCTGGGAGCTCACACTCTTTTGAGTTAGTTGTCATTACTAATTTGGAATATTTGTACTCCAGTCTAAGCAATGGTAAATAAAGAAAGTAGTCATATATCAGCTTATAAAATTGCCCGCAGTATAGTTGCTCTACAGCAAACTGCCCTCACCTACTGCCACAGAGCTCTATGTTCTCACTTATCTACCACATACACATAAATGTTTCCAGGGTTTCAGATAATTGGTACAATACAGTTAGTTAACTTTATGACTTGTTTTACATTGACTAAATTGCCCAATTATGAAGACATTTCAAAAAGCAAGGAGAGATCTGGGTATCTCTATATATATTTTCTTCATTTACCAATATCTGAAAGCTAATTTACTATATGGCTTTCCAAAATTAAGCTCATAAAGGTGAGAAGACGATACAGGCAAGTAATTTGGTCGTTTTCTCCATATCATGCATTCTTTTCCTCATTATCCCAGATATGACTCTGTCCCTAATTATTACAACATAGAACTTTTATTATAGCCCCCGTGGCTATAATATAATCATTTTTAGCCAAAGCATGTAACACCAATATTCACTGAGGAGTTAGATTCAATAGTCAAATCCAGATTCTTCAAATCCTGGAGTAAATAAAGGTGACATTTGCCTGAAAATTTAGTCTGTTTCTTTGCAAAGTATCTTCCCACAAGAATATGATGATGAAATGGTGGACCAACAAGACAGTTATAATACTATGAAAAGAAACACAGAACAAGAATCTGCCTTCCAAACTTAGCTCTATACCCATTTATCTCAGTGATATAGGCTGTGTTTCTCTTAATTTTATAAGGGGTCTAAATCAATAATCACTATTATTCTATAAGCTCCCTATTATCATAATAACAATCATTTCTATTTGTTCACCTAAAAACCTTTCTTATTAACTCCTTCATTAGGAAAAACAACTTGTGTTGCTGAAAGAACTTGGAACTAACAAGTTCAAAATCATTCACAACAATAGAGATCTTGCAGTTCTCATGTGGTCACACCAAAGATGTAACTTACTTTTGATTTTTCTTCCAGAAGTAGCAAGTGAGAGCTACCAGCAAAACGGCTGTGAAGGCCCCAACACCTGCTCCCACTTTCAGCCAAAAGTCAACTGTTTCACAGGTTGACAACTTTTTCTCAGGCAAAGAAATCCCCTTAATGCACCACTTAGGTTCATTCCATACATATAAAGTTTCCTTGGGGAAAAAAAATCCATGATGATTACATGAGAAATGAGGTTCAGAGGGTTTTGCAAACTTGCTATTCAAAGTAGGCATAGCATATTATTAAGCATTCATCTAACAGAACCTCCAGAGAGGGGTATATAGAAAAGGCTGTATAAAAGAAAAATACGTAAAAATCGAACAAAACCAAATGAAACATTCATTGTCAAATCACAACACTTCCTACATGCTAAAGAGGTTGAATAAAATTGATTCCATTTAGATGCACATTTTCTTGCAGTTTGTCATGAACTAATTATTAGGCAGGATAATTTTATTTATAGTGAAGAAAACTTTTGATCAAGTTTTGCATAAGAACTTTAACATACTTTTAAGGAAAGTACATAAGTTGATAGAGCTTTAGTATATGATACTGTAAGTTTTCATTAAACAGTGCAAATGAATATGTTTTAAAATGGGTCATATAATTTTTTTTTAAGATTTATTTATTTATTCATACAGAACTGGGTACAGACCAGAAATGCGGAGGGTGAGAGGATTCACCAGAGATAGAATGGGGAGCAGAACAGGCAGATGATCAAAGTACACTGCTGAGGGGAGCAGCAGGCGGGTCAGGAGAGGTCTGCCGCGCCATGTGGATCTCCTCCGGGGCAGGCGGGAATCGAACTCATGCAGAAGTGGCTTAAGCTTCTTAGTGCAGTGCTTTAACCTGCTGCGCCAACAGGGCGCATTATAATTTTTATAAGAATGATAAGGTAAAAAATGAAGAAGCATATTCAAGATCTACTGCTGTATCTCTAAGTATAAAAAATGACATCGCAGAGAAAAATGTTAACTCTTGTCAGCAAAGGCTTAGTTCATCTGAAGTGAATTCTAAAAAAAAAAAAAAGGCCATGCGAAAGTTCATATAATCTTACTGAATCCACAATGCCCAATAAAAATGTCACGTTCTAACATCTAATGACAGTCTTACACACAGTACTTTTTAAAACTTCAAAATAAAAAAGACTTGCTTGCAAACCCAGAACAATTAACTTTCCAATGAATTCTTCAAATTATTAAAGAAATAAAATGAGACCAACTTTCTTAAACTATTATAGAAAGCTTACCCCTTCATTTGGCCACATGTCATTGGCAAGCAAGAAAATGACTGAGACCACCACTAAAAATTATATTTTCTAGCTTCCAGAGATACTTTGTGAACAGGGTACCATACATCTGATGTTAATTTTTAAAGCCTTCCTCAGTAACAACAGAGTATCGCCTCAAATTTTTAGTACTATCTGACATTTAGAAATAATGCTTAATACAGCTGTAGGACCAGATATAGATTTTTGAGATTCAATTTGATAAGAGCAGTTTTATCACAAGTTCTACAGTTCTTTTAGTTTATATCAGTTATCTATGAAAAATTTGTTGTAGTATATAAATTTCACTTCATACCCATTTGGCTTAGAAATACACAATTGAAGTGCATTCTCAGTCAATATAAAGTGAAAAATTGTAAGTAATTGAGCAGGAAATAGGACAGAAACACAGTGGGATTACTGAAAAATTCAAAGATATCACAGTAATATTTTGTAATCACGTTTTCCCTATTATGAAACTTTAGCATCCAATGAAATCTATCTCTGTTCACAGAGATAATAGAAAATGGCTCATTGTTATTAAGGTTCACTGAAGAGCTGACTTTTGAAATATTTTATTCAGAGATTAAAGTTGTCCACACCCTGTTGTTGTATCATCCATTTTTTGGTTATTGTTGCAATGCACTGAGAGTGTACTAAGCAGTTGTAAGAGTTTAGGAATGGCATTCTTTTTTTCTAATTGAAATTCTACATGATTTGACAAATATTTTCAAAATTGACCTCAAATGTTAAGAGGAAGTTACACTTAATTTTTGATATTTCTCAAATTAAATTTGGAATATGAGGGAAATTACACATTTTAACATGTCAAACACATAAGTGTTCAAATGACATTATTCATCAAGAAAAGTAAATATTTAAAAGAATGCTTTATTTCTAACGTTCTTATAAAAAGTTAAACAGGGCCCTCCCTGGTGGCGCAGCGGGTTAAAGCACAGCACTGAGAAGCTAAAGCCACTTCAGCATTTGTTTGATTTCCGCCTGCCCCGGAGGTGACCACATGGCGTGGCAGACCTCTCCTGACCCGCCGGCTGCTCTCCTCAGCAGTGTACTTCGTTGATCTGCCTGTTCTGCTCCCCACTCTGTCTCTGGTGAAGCCTCTCACCGCCCCTGAGCCTCTGGCCTGTACCCCAGTTCTGTATGTACAAATAAATAAATCTTTTTTTAAAAAAAAAAAGTTAAACAGAGATTTATCAATGAAGACAGTTTGAATGATACATAGTTTAGAGAAGTTGTTGCAACCTTAGTTTTAAACTTCTAGTCATCATCACTTTCCAAAAGAGAAATACTGAAGAATTTTAATAAAAGATCTTTTGACTTTTCAAAATCATATTTTTCATTTTCTCTAAAAATGTGATTATGTTTATAACAATTTTATAGTAAAAATAAAAATTTCCATTGAGAAGCACAAAAAGAAAATTTTATGAAGATTAAATAAACAGGCCCTCCTTGGTGGTGCAGTGGATTAAAGCACAGCACTAAGAAGCTAAAGTCACTTCTGCATGAGTTCGATTCCCACTTGACTGGGAGATGATCCTCATAGCATGGCAGACCTCTCCTGACCCGCCTGCTGTTCCCCTCAGCAGTGTACTTCGTTGATCTGCCTGTTCTACTCCCCACTCTGTCTCTGGTGAATCCTCTCACCACCCCTGTGCCTCTGGCCTGTACCCCAGTTCTGTATGTACAAATAAATAAACCTTACAAAAAAAAAAGTAAGATCTCGATTAAAAATATGTATATGCTGAACTCTTTAGATAGGCTTCTTTAGTGAGTTAGTTATACCCATCCAGGTAAATACCCACACCCTACTTTGCAAAAATTCATTTCATTTCCCACATTCCCAGTGTACATCTTCAGCTACACCAAAATGTGAGGTTTTTAGCTACTAAATTTGGTTTTAAATGCATATTAATGTCACATTAAGTTAACTGTGAGTTTTTGTCATATTTCTGAATCTGAGTTTCATTGATGTAAATAATACCAAGTTAACCAATTCTAGTTTCAGTGCCATAGTTCCTCTTAGGTAGCTTGGTCCCATACCTGGAATCCTCTCTTACAGGCCCCCTCAATTTCATGGAAGTCATGCTCTGTGCACAGAGGACAGGCTTCTGCACTTTCCCACAGGAAGTAGAATGTGCATCCATCACAGGTGCCTGCTGGGCACTTGCTGAAATAAAAAAAAAATACAAAACAACAAAAAATGACAGCCCTTGTTGCACATTTAATACAGTTCAATCAACGTTTCAGTGACTGTGGTATATGTAGAAGCAGTGTGTGTATTCTGAAGAAACACTCATGAAAAATAAAACAGAAACAGACAAAACCACAAGGACTACTTACTTCACACCTACTCATATAAACAGAATAAAAAATGACAGAGAAATTGAAACCCTCACACAATGCTGGTAATAATGTAAGGAACTACTCAACTATAAAATGAACACAGTACCTATGTTAAGTCCAAATAATGAGGCATCTTAAAAATATTACGCTAAGTAAAAGAAGTTAACTGATAATTCCACATATTTTAATGCTATTCATGTGAATGTCCATAGGAAGATCTAGAGAAACAGAAAGTAGATTAGTGGTGGTTTAGGGCAAGAAAGCGGGCAAGGGTATAGGCAGTGATAGTGAAAGAGTATGGCACTTCTTTTAGAAGTGATGAAAAGGTAAAACAATTGACCATGGTGATGGTTGCATATATACAAATATGAATATACTAGCATACAATTGAATTGTATGCTTTAAGTGGGTGAATATGTATTATGTAAATTATACATCTATAACATCTTTAAAAATTTAAAGGAGAGACAAACAGAGGTCATAACAAAAACAAACAAAAATCTCAGGGCTGTTTTCTTCATAGAAGTGATATATAAGTCTAATCTAAAATAGCCAGTGGATGTTAACCATAGTAGAACTGAAGAACTCAAGACAGAAGGATGAAATGATAGGTGAATTGGAATAAAATTTCAAGTAGGTCACTGTCCCAGGAGCTTAAAGATCAGTGAACGAGCACTGGGCTTACCAATGGAACATACCAGAAAAACAAGATAGTAAAGGAGGCATGATTTCTACTCTCCTGTATATAGGATGCCTCTCCTGTATATAGCCTTAGGTGAGAGGCTTTAAGGATTTAATGTTGCACAGGTCCTTGCATTTAGATGGGGGAGAGAGGCAAGGCGGGAGAAAACACAAAATTATCCAAAGTGAAAAACAAAACCAACAGGTCCATATATAGCTCTATATGATGCAAATGATTTTGTAATCCTCAGTTTCCTCATCCTGAGGATAATTTAATGAAGTGGTTGCTGTCAACCACAAAGAAATGATAAATGGGGCTGACAGTGCACAATGGAATTTCCCAGAAAAGACCTAAAGACTTTTTTAAATTCTGTTTTGTAGTAGGTGGCATGTCATAATAACATGCCATATTTTTATTTCAGAACAACCACAGTCTGTTTCAAAAACCTACCAACTATTACTGTGTACTGATAGAAGCAAGGAGCTATTTGGGGAGATTCAACTAGGGATGACTGTTTTTGTTCATAAAATCACTTAGTGCAAGAGAAGAGTGATCCCTTAATTTGTCTACTTCACTTGCCTCAAGTTGAACTGTGTAAAAACAGATCATTTTCCTAAAAACCTCCACACCGTAAGATCTTAGCTGGTGCTGAGTACAGTTGTTCTGACATACCAAATAGTGAAAAGACAGACATAGCATAATAGTGAGAATTCATAAAACATCACTCTTTAATTAGTTTTAACTTCAAGTATCTTTCTGATGATATGTAGTTCAAAATTATAATCTTCAGCCTATCCACAAAGTCAAATTTCATACTCTTAATTAATTAATTATGTGCCTAAAAACTGACTGCATTTTACGTGCCTGTCTTTCCAAAGTGTGAGTGTGCTTGTAGACAAAGGTGAAATGGGGAAAAAAAAAAAAGTAAAGTTCTTTATAACATATTTCAGAAACAGAGACCCAATATTGTCGTTTGAAAACAACAGTGAATGTTGATTCTTAGGAAAAATGACTTAACTCTGACCTACCTTAATTACTCTATAAAAAGAACATAGAGAATATATTCAGACTAAGAAACATTTTTTTAAGTGCAATAAATGAAAACCATGCTAATTAAAAAAATTATCCCTACTTTCCACCTTCTGGATCAGTATAAATAAGTCCTAATTGAAAAAAATTAGGTAAGCAATTAGAAAAATTCTTCAGGAACACAATTTTTATTTATACAACAACGATTTGCATTTTTAGTTACATTTCCAATTGTTTAGCAAAAATTACCAATATGCTTTCCTGCTTAAATCTCTCTTCCCAAATAATTTCCTATTTTATCTCTCCACCACAGAGAAGTTTTAAAAGGTAAAAACATGTTAATCTTGGGAAAATAAAGAAGTCACTTAAAGTTCAAGAAGAACTTAGCAAATAAAATGGAAAAAGAGCAAATTAATAAAAGTCGCCAAAAAATTCTTGGATTACAATTCTAACTGAACTTTCAAAGGTTTGTATCTCACTCATGAAATTTGGCAAAAGCAGAATGTCTATTATACTGCCTGCAGAAAGCAGTTACAGGGGATAAAATAAGAAAACAACTTGGAAAAGTTTAAAGCCCTGAGACTAGAAGACCATTCATAGGTTTCACTTTCTAAAGAACTGTAAAACCATAGAAATGGTGGAGGAAATCAAAATAAGTCAAATTCAGAAAGACAAACACCAGATAACTTCACTCATATGTGGAACACAGAGAAACCAAACAAAGAAACAGATAATGAAAATCAAAACAAACCATAAAAATAGAACTGCAAAATTGAAGCTACCAGAGAGGGAGGGTGGAGGAAAAGAAGCAAAGGGGAGAAAGGGTCCGATGGATGAGGATGGAGGATTATGTGTTTTGGTGATAGATACGGTGCACCACACATCTGAAGAATCTTGGCCCCCAATTCATACACAATGTTGTATATCGTTGTATATATGCTTCAATAGAATTAGGGCTTACTTCAATAAAAATACTTTTTGTGTGTGTGTGTGCATTTTTTTTTTTAAGATTTATTTACTTATTTGTAGAGAACTGGGGTACAGGCCAGAGAAGTGGAAGGTGGGAAGATTCACCAGAGACAGAGTGGGGAGCAGAACAGGCAGATCGAAGTAGTACACTGCTGAAGGGGAGCAGAGGGGGTGGCAGGAGAGGTCTGCCGTTCCATGTGGATCTCCTCCGGGGCAGGTGAGAATCGAACTCATGCTTTAGCTTCTCAGTGCTGTGCTTTAACCCACTGCGCCACCAGGGCGGGTCAAAAATACTTTTTAAAGTAGCTTAGTTTAGAAATAATTCCTTGATTAATTTTTTCCAATTACATTTTTTGCAATAGAGTTGGTTTACATTGTTGTACCTTCTTTGTGATTATAGGTTTAAAACAACTTTTTAATTCTTTTAACCCAGTGAATCACTTTAAATGCAGCACATCCTAATTTGATTCTTCATTACAAACATAAGTTTCAATCTGGATCAGGTCTCCCCCATGAAACATCAAGGATGAATAGAGCAATAATAATTTTAATAATGTTTAAATATAAAATGAAAAATAAGGGAAAATTATTCAAGAGAATAAAAGAGAACAAAATAAGTGAAGAATAAACTAAACAAATGCTTTCTTGCTAAATACTTGAAGTACCTTACCCTTGTATTACTCGTGCCTCACCATCTCCACTCCTTTTGTAACAGGGTGGTCCCTAGGAAAAAGGGAAGTTCCAGGTTCCCTGCCCCACCCAGAATGAGGGTGGAGCTGAGCAGAGAAAAAGGAGAGAAGAGAAGAGAGAAGGAAATGAAGCAGGATGGAGAGCCAGACAGAGACCTGAGGAAGACACATGGAGCAGCAAGCATGTGATGAAGAAACCGTGCTTGTTTCCTGACCCTGGACTGGTTAAGGCAGATGTGGGTGAGAGACCTGTAGGGAGGTGTTTATATTGATTTTGGCAGTGTTTATATTGGTTTTGATTTTGCTCTTTTCCTCCCAGATTTGTCTGGCCATTTCTGACCCTTTTTCCATGGGTCCTGGCCAGAAGGTGCTTTAGTCTAGTGGCAGGCTTTCAGGCCTTGCTTTGGGCCAATCCCTTTTGGGTTGACTTTTGCCCACAAGGGGATGGGTAACTTCATGTGTTTGATTTAGAAGTTATATTCTTTGTGTTCTGTATTGTATATTCACTGTATTAAAGTCCCTTTTCATTAAAGTTTTATATGCTTTGTCTTGACACGGTAGATGGCAGAACCCACTTAGAGCAGGCAGGTTTTGGGTTTCAGGGGTGCCCCTCTCTCCCTGTCCTCTAACAGAATTGGGGTGCCCTATACCAGATTTTGTCCTATAACATTTTCTACAAGTTTTTAAAGGTGTTGATAATTGTAGTTAATTTTTAACTTTGAATCTACATAATCACCATAGAAGCCAGTGAGTAAATGGCTGAAGAGACAGGACTTGGGGATGTATACCTGAGGCATGTGAGCTTGGAGTTGTCCAGAAGGACAAATGTGCTGTGAATTCTAGGAAGAGAAACCACTATTGATTCAAAGGACAACCAGGAGGACTTCAATTTGACATTCCTGAAAAATGAGAGACAGACTTTCTGGTTTCCTTATTTTGTTTCTAGCATTGCCTAATGGATCAGGAGAACACTGACAATGTGTAAAGATTCAGTTAAGTATTTTTAAAGACTTATATGCTTTGTGTTCTACAATGAGACACTTTTCCGGAAGGGATAACTAGACTGAAATATGAGTCATTAATGTTCTGTAAGGCTTTATTATTTTCTTGGGGTTGACAGGTCTATTGGCATGCAGAATGGCAACCCCTTTTAAATTAATCCTCTTATCTAAAGCAGGAACTATTTGGTTTGTAAGTTGTTTTGCTACTGAACTCTTATGACCTAATACTCAACCTCTTATTGTTTGACTAGATAATAAATTCATGTAAAATGTCTTTGCCTAAATTTCATTCAAAATCCAAAGTTAAAATGAACTCATCTATGTTCTCAAAACATTTCTGACCTGACACAAGTTATGCAACCTCTGTCGATAGACATGGTACGGATGGAAGGGAAATGCTCTGAAAAATCAGATTTTCCAAGCTAATTTATGTTATGACCTCCCTTTTTTGTAT